GGGGGGGGGGTCGTTGACTTTGGATTGAACCTAAGTTCTAACTCAATCATTAGACTTGAAAATTACTGGAATTTTTTTTTTGGTTTTTATTGTTTTTGTGGAAGTTTACTGTGGGATATTCACTTTTAAAAAGAAAAAAAGAAAGAAGAATTTTTTTTAGTAGCTGGATACATGACAATTGAATTAGAAGTCAAGATGATAAAGAACATACTATGAGTAGATATATGTAAATTGAAACACCAGATTTATGGTTTGAACTTTATTAGAAAGAATGAATTTGGTCGCAGTTGTACCATCCGTACTATTGGTTAGACTGTTTGTTTGCCTTGATGTAACTGTGTCGAATAGGGATGGCGCGGTATAATTAACTTTTAACGTTAGCTTGTCTTTTGTCTTTTTGTTTTCTTGAGCCGAGGATCTTTTCGGAAACAGTCTCTTTACTCCTTCGGGGTAGAGGTAAGGTCTGCGTACACACTACCCTCCCCAGACCCCACTAATGGGATTTTACTAGGTGGTTGTTGTTGTTGTTGTTAGCTTGTTAGAAGTTAATGTTACCTACCTGTACCTGGTACTATGCTACTCACGTATGATCATTCTCGGCGTATCATATCATAAACACCGTGTCTTTGATGTTCTTTTCTTTGTTTTTTTTATGCTTTTGAAGTTGCGGTCTTGAGTACTCTCCTGATGATTTTAATGTAAAGTATATTCAATTAATTCATATGTTACTGAATAATACTATTTTCATGGTTGTGTCATATGGATTTGATTGATTGATAAAGTGCTCTTAATTTTCTTTGCTTTCCAACTTTTCTTTGTGCAGTCTTTTTTTTACTTTAGGAAGCAGATTAAGATATGGATCCTGATGACAGTCTTAGTGAAGATCCTTGGACAAAGCCGTCTTCATCTGGCAATGAATTACTGAAAATTGTGCCCTCAGATAACCATTCATTTACCAATTTCAATCTGCATGCGCAGAAGTGGGAAGGTTCCTCTTATTTGGATCAACAGACCAGGATTGAGCAACAGTTTTCTGGATTTACTCAACCAAAACACACATATCAGATGGATCAACATGGGAATCAGATGAATGAAAATCATGACTCGACCAGCACAAAGGACTGGGATCCAAGTAATTTGCTAAACAACCTTTCGTTTCTCGAGCAAAAGATTCATCAGCTCCAGGAACTAGTGCATTTGATTGTTGGGCGGAGAGGTCAGACTGGGCTTCAGGGAAATGACCTTATAGTTCAGCAGCAACAGTTAATCACAGCGGACCTTACTTCTATTATAGTCCAATTGGTTTCAACTGCAGGAAGTCTTCTTCCAACTATGAAGCACTCACTTTCCTCCGTGAGCCATGCTGCTAGCCAACTTGTGCAGTTTGGTGGCGTCACAGTTCCTTCTGCAACATGTACTAATGGCGGGGGACTGCCATGTAATGATGGTGGTGTTACTAAAGTGGAAGATCAGTCCAACCACGTTGACCAGTTGAGAGATTGTGGAATTGAACAAAGCCATGCTGTTGATGGACATGAATCAAAAGATGAAGATGAAGCTGAGGAAGAAGAGAACCTTCCTCCCGGTTCCTATGAGATTCTGCAGTTGGAGAAGGAGGAAATCCTTGCACCACACACTCACTTTTGCACAATTTGTGGCAAGGGATTTAAGAGGGATGCCAATTTGCGGATGCACATGAGAGGTCATGGTGATGAGTACAAGACTCCAGCAGCTCTTGCAAAGCCTCATAAGGAACCAAGCTCCGAGCCAACACTCATCAAAAGGTATTCCTGTCCTAATGTTGGATGCAAGCGCAATAAGGAGCATAAGAAGTTTCAGCCTTTGAAGACCATCTTATGTGTGAAAAACCATTACAAGAGAACCCACTGTGAGAAAGCTTATACTTGCAGTAGATGTAATATAAAGAAATTTTCGGTTATTGCTGATCTTAAAACACATGAAAAGCATTGTGGTAAGGATAAATGGCTTTGTTCCTGCGGAACAACATTTTCTAGGAAAGATAAGCTTTTCGGACACATTGCACTTTTTCAAGGTCATACTCCTGCAGTTCCGCTGGATGAAACTAAAGGATCTGCTGGGACATCTGACCGAGGCCAAACAAGTGAAGTCACCATGAAAGCGCGGCAAGAAGATTTTAAGGTAAATGCTTCACATGGCAATGAGTTTCAAGATCCTAGGGATATAAAAAGCGCTGCAGATGATCCAGGCAGTTATTTCTCGCCTTTGAACTTTGATACTAGCAATCTTAATGGATTTCAAGAGTTCCCTCGACCACCATTTGATGAGTCAGATAGCTCATTTTCGTTTCTGCTATCTGGATCATGTGAATACCCTCCTCACAAGGCTGCAAAATATATGAGTTCTACTGAACTGGAATAACATCATGTCAAGTTGTATTTGATTCAGTGTAGCTCTATTCTATCATCATCATGTCATTGTTTTCTCAGAATAACTAAAATTGTTTTTCTTAAAATTTTTAGTGTCATTGTTGCTATGAGTTTGTTCAGTTGCAGCAAGTAAAAAAGGATTACTCGTTAACTGGTTAAAGTAATTTTACCGAAGGTTAAGCTCATACAGCCTTTACAAGAATCTTGATTGATATCAGAACCGTCCCTAATTACTTAGCCAAGGGAATTGCGTTCCTTTTAGCAGCAAATCAGATGTTAATAATTTACCACCAAACTGTGTAATATAATTTATCACTTCTTCCTTTTTCTGTTTTTTCAAATTTTTTTTGGGGTGGGGGTTAATAAAACAAAGAAAAAAAACGTGGACCGAAGATTTATGAATTACACAGATTTGCACAAAAAAAAAAAAAAAAAAAAAAAAAAGGAAGAAGAACCAAACAACCAAAAAAGAATGAACTAAAAATTTATGAATTACCCAGATTTTCAAAAAAAAAAGAAGCAAACAACCATTTTATTGCAATAATAAAAGGTTCCAAAAATAGTGAAACATTGGCACTTGAGAGCATAGCATGAAAGATTCAATGGGCTGTACAACAGCAAACAGCTAACTAATTGGCTGAACATATGTGCCTATAATGAGAATTATGGAGCAATATGAGCTTCAACCCTTTTGCAGCTTCTCCTGTCTTTTTTGGAGGGCCACGGTAGTATGTTTCCCTAAGAACAAAGTCATCCTCGCATGACCAAGTCCTTCCCCTAGGAGAACTGTCCTTCCAAAGAAACCGCTCAGAGAATGGGTTCACTAAGCTCTCGCGAAACTCTTCTGCTGTCTCACAGTTTAAACCCTGCACGTCAATTAACATTAGGTAAAAGAATTCATCACGTACAGCTTTTTGTTTTGGAAAATGGAATATTGAAAAGGTAGATGGGTGGTTATGGTCTTACTTCTGCCATGGCCTTGATTTTCATGGTAAGATCATTGCTAAGGAGGACGAGTTGTCCGTTCTTGTTGGTTCTTTTGAAGAAGAGGGCATATTCAAGGATATGATCTTCTGCTGTGGGTGAGGCAGATTCCATTAGACCACCATGTGGAGAAAATGGAAGAGAGCCACCAATAGGGAACATGCCATTCTCCTCACTGAACAAAGACAATGGAGCAGTAGCAGGAGGAGTTGGTGCCACTGATCTTGTTTCTTCCGCGCAACTCTGTACGTGAATCCATGACTTTGCATTTATCATGCAGTCTTCTATCCATTCTAATGCTGCAGATACCTCTGTTGTCTTTCTAAACAGACTAGCACGCCTCTTCATGCAATCCAATTCTCTTACAACTGTTGACAAGGAGCAGGTAATGATCAGCCAAAGCAGGCAGTCTAGACCAATATGATGGACATATTTGAAAATGATGAAACTTTCAGGGGTAATTCATTACCGGTTCTTGGTATTATCAGGTATGTCCCCTTGAGACCTTGCAGCAGCTGCAAACTTTTCCTTGATTCTTTATGCAGCAAAGAACCAGTGTCTACTACCATGGTCCACGTCCTATTCTGTTCCACGACACTGTTATTCTGCAGATAAATTTTAGGACACAAATTAGAGATCTTCAAGTTTCTACATTTACACCAGAGAGTCAAACTAACTGTTAACTTGTAAGGTTTGAACAAAGAAGAACGCTTGAATAACATTATTAGCTAATCCTTTGAACCAACAAATTTGCTGTGTGACTCAACTTGTCTCAAAGAATATAGTGGACAAGAAACTAAAACAAATCCAACCAGAAGAAATGCATCCTAGCCAAAACTCATTTCAAAAAGACTCCTCCAAATCTACGATCTCTCAGAAGCTAATGACAAGTACTGCATCCTAGCCAAAACTCATTTCAAAAAGACTCCTCCAAACCAACAAATTTGCTGTGTGACTCAACTTGTCTCAAAGAATATAGTGGATGCATCTCTCAGAAGCTAATGACAAGTACTGCAGCTTGGAAACATGCCTCTGTCTATGCTAATCTTAGAAGAAAAAAACGTTTTCAGCATAAAAAGTTTGATATTGAACTTACAGAGAAGGGGCATGCCTCCTTAGTCTCTCGATACTTGATAGGACTGTCACTCAACTTAAGGTCCTCATGTGGAGATATTGAGCTGGTCTTTGCGGGGCTGTTCACAAGAAGGGATTGAAAAGGCACCCTATCCATTCTGTTCTTCACTGTGTTTACCTCTGATCTCTCTAGATTTCTGGAAGCAAGGTTTGGAGTTCCATTTTGATGGAATATGGAATCAACTACACTGTTCAGAGGAAATTTAAACGCTTCTAGATGCTGAACATCTTCCAACATTGCTATTTTCTTCATTGCTCTCATAAAATGAGTACCAGGTGTCATATTTTCTTTATCTGGAGTGAACATTTCTTCATCATTGTCATCCATATCAGACCATGTTGATTTAGTAGTTGATCCTAGCTTCTCTTTTTTGTGGGATACAAGACCTTCAGCTCGATTGGCCATTGGCTCAACCACATTTTTCAGAGATGAAGATTTAAAGGGTTTTGGATGCTTAACTTGATGCTGGCTTCCCATCTTCTTCATCGACCTCAGCAAACGCGTGTTTGGTGTCCTATTCTCCTTGTCCGGAGTGAAATTCTCTTCATTCTCATCCATATTAGAAAGCACAGACTTACTATCTGATACATTTGTCATCTCAGAAAGACACAATTTCTTCACGGATCCAAGGAAGAGAGAACTAGGAGTACTGTTCTCTTTGTCAGGAGTAAAGACCTCTTCCTCTTTATCCTTGTTTCCACTAGCAAAAAGATCTTTAGAAACTGAATTAATTCCTGCTCTTTCACGATTAAGCGATTCGACTTCAGTTTCCATGTCAACTTTTTCATTCATTGCCCTATCTCTCCCAGTTTGAATCTGAACACTGAAAAGTTTTCCCCTTCTAGACCAAATGCTTGAACATCTTTGCGGTGATCTTTCCGGTGTACCATCTATTACATTTTCTGTTTTGGACTGTTCTGAGACAAGAAGCGCTTCTGGTGCACTATTTTCCTTGTCAGGTTGATAAGAAGCAGGCTGCAGCAAACTGATTTCACCTTCTTCATGGATATTCCCAGGTAGATTACTTCTGTTTGCTGCCTCGTACTTATCAGGAAAGGGAGAACTCATTTGCTCAAGCAGTGGAGGAGCTGGGGGAGTCAAACTTCTCACACGCGGTAACGAACTCACAGCAGAAAATGACGAGTCTAGACCCTGCACCATATCATCATCCTCTTTCTGGATTTGGTCATTCTGGGAAGAAAAGCCACTCTCATCCTAGAGCATCAATAAATGCACATTGCACAACAAGGCAAAGAATAAGAAAATGGAGTTACTGAACCATAATTCTGAACCTATATATTTTGAAGATATTACCACTGCTTCAGCTCACCTGATGTTGTTCCTCCTCTTTGTTTTCTGGTACAAATGGATTCTCCGTATCATATGCGCGGCTGATTGGGACCCAGTGAAGCCTGTAAACCCTGCTTGAACCTCCAAGCTGCATCCTATCACCTTCTTTCAACTCCACTTGAGCTCCTGATTCGATTTTCTTACCAGAAATCCATGTCCCATGAACTACAGAGGACAAGATGAAATGACCTTACTGATTAACGAAAGAAGCAAGATGAAATGGTCTAAACAAGACTGCAATTGGCGAGAGATAAAACCGTCACACAAAAATAGGCTTTGACATCAGTAGTTATGTCTTAAATCTTAATCAATTGGGAAAAATGGTTGAAGCTTGAAAGACAACACATTGTATCATTGATAATAGCCAACAAGATTTCAAGAGTTTAAAGTTCACATGCTATTACAGAACTCCAAAGACATGCACTAGCTCGAAGACGCTGAATTTTAACAACTTTAACAACCATAAAATGAACATTATAGAGTATCTACAGGAAACAAAAACAGATATATCGTACGCGGCATCATTTAACCTCCTCAATAAACTGTACAAAGAGTCTGTAATACTACAGACTCATAAAACCCCATTCAACAACTAAAATCTGTAACAATCAAGATATGGGTAGAGATTTCAAAAAATCTTCACATAATTCACAAATTTTGTGATCATCAAGAAAAATGCAACAGTAACAAAATTATTGAAAGATGACACATTGATAAAGCCAAAATTGCACCATCAAATGCAAAAAGAAGAAATTATAGAAACCCTCAAGATATCAAGAATTTAGACCTTCTTCAAGAGCCATATATGAAGATTAGAATGAATCTACTGCAAACAAGAGTAGGATAAAATTCAAGAAAATAACTCAAAATTACCATCACAAATCAAGAGGATTACTGCAAACTATAAAATGATGTTTCAAGAACCATATATGATGATTGAATACAGACATTCTCCAAAAGATGAAAGCAAACACAAATACCCAATTTAAGATAGCGATAGAAAACTGGAAAAACCCATAAATAATTTATAAAAAAAAAGGCAAACTTTAGAGAAGAAGTTTAAAGGCAGAATACCTGAAGAGAGATCAGTAACAGAGAGGGAGAGAGAGGAGGGTTTAGAGTGAATACGGAGGTGAAATCTGCTGATGCTTGGATGTTCCAACGTAATGTTACAATCAGGATGTCTACCAACCACCAAAATCTCTTCAAATTCTGCTGTTTCTTGATTTGAAGAAGAAGAAGACGATGAAGGGGGGTTGTCAAGGAGGAAAATGTTCTTGAGAATTGCACCATTCTTTAGCACTGTAAACACTGGGATTTTCTTCTCTTCTTTACTCTCTAAAATGGGTTGAGCTTCCTGCTTGTCTTCCATGAGGATCAAGAATGAAGAAAATGAGAGAGACAGAGCAAAATCTGTGTGTGTATTGTGTTTTGGGTGGAAATGAGAAGAGTGTTTTGAATATAATCTTGAAAAAGGTGACCGTTAGAGAGGGAAGGGAGGGAGGTAATACAATTTGTGTGAAAGAAACGGCTAATTTTCCCATTTAATAGCGCTATTATTACAATACAATGCTTTTTGTAATTTGTTTGGCTCTAATCCTCTCCAATTCCGTTTCTTTTGAGATAAATTACCCCTTTGGTAAACCAGATAGGAGTAACTTATTGAGATTCACCTTTCTTAAAATTTCTAAATGATGTTAAGGAAGCTGAAATTCATGCTTCTATTGATCGGAGTTGTAATGTCCTATTTTAATTTGAAAAGGTAAATTATACTTGACCAATTTTAACAATCTACGAATATGTTAAATTTATAATACCATAATAGGATATTGTCAAATTAGGATAAAACTATCAGCGTATGAATTTAGTTTTAAATACCTAAACAGTAAAAAAAATTAATAGTAAAACTTGTAAATTTTGATTCCCAAATTAACTTAGAAAAATTAATGTGGGATAGAAGGAGTTGATTTAGAAATGCCTTCGGGAATATCTTGATGAGTTGTTCCCAAAAACCTATAAGCTAGATTTTTGTGAGCCTTCTTTTTTACCGAGAAAATTGAAACCGTTTGGATCGGCTTAAAAAAGTGATTTTTAAGCACAAATATTTAAAGCACTCCCTCTGTTCACTTTGTTTGTTTATTATACTAATAATATAATTTTTAATTTTACTTATCTGCTATACTAAATCAGGAGAAAGATAATTTTTTTTCATGTTCTACCCTTATCATTAATTACTCATTTCTCAAGACTTTTGAAAATGCTATCATTATGGTAAAATTATAAAATATATATTTCATTTATTGTTTCTTAAAGAATGTGAAAAGTCCAAAGTGGACAACTAAAAGTGAACGTAGGGAGTATTTTTTAAGTGTTGGAACTTGTTTTAAAAATAAGAAGTTACGTGTTTGGATAAAAGTGTTGAAGCTCAAAAAAATTGTTGTTTGGTAAACAAGTGTTTTGTTAAGTATTTTTTTTGTTAAAATGACTATAATATCCTTAAAGTTGTTAGCACTATAAAAACCTGATTACTATAGTATTTTATTCTAAAGTGACATAACTATAAAAACGGTACAATTGAATTTATACGTGGTTTCTAGACAAGTGAATTAATTTGATCCTGAAATAATAAGATAGTTGAAGGAATATATAATACTTAGCTTTGATATGAAGACGAAATGACAGAAATAAAGATTCTGGTAACGAAGCCTACAGGCGCAACAGTAATAAGAATAATAATAAGAACGGAAAATAAGAAGATAAAATTGTATAGAGCTTTGAGTAGATTGTAGTATTAGCTTGCCAGAAAACTCGTTCCCTTACAATGATAACAGAGCTTACTATTTATAGCTATGTCTAGGGAACAAAGTCCTAGGATCATGCTCTTCTTTAATGTAAATTATGAGGGTCATTGATGAAGATGTAACGGTGAGCATAAATGACAAATTCCTTGTAACGAGCAGTGCACTTAATGCCATAGAATATTCTCCATTAGTGCCACCGGGCGGAGGTATTTATTGCCTCTTTATGAGTCTCACTCCCCACGGTACCAAATAGGATAATTGGCCTCGGTTCTATGTGTCATTCTTTTAAGCGGCCACCTGTCATAGCATATTTTACCCTATACAGATAGTCCCCTGCTTTCCGGTGACATAGGTTTGTGTTACCGAAAAGTTGGTAGAAATACTCTTTTGGCAGAAATTACTATGATTTCTTCTGAAGGCTTCTGACAGTTGATTAGACGCACGTTTCTCCGTATTTAATGTCGTGAACATGTGTCATCCCATGATTCAGCATAGCTCTTGCCAGTTATCGAGGTAATCATGGCCATGAATTTAGTTGCCAAAACTTTTACTTATATGCATCAACCTTCTCCCCTTATACTCCATAACTTTCCAAACTTTCTAAAATCTTCTTTGCTGTTACTCAACCTTTCTGCAACTCCCTTAAAATAGAAAAGCTTTCCTTTCATCCAAATGGCTTCTTCTTCAAAGAATGTTAGCTCTTCAAAGGGCAAGAGCAAAGCTGAAGATGCTTCTCCTCCAACGTTGGACTCTATCATTCTTAGAAGTTTTGTTAAGACAAAAAACTTCGAAGAGAAATTCCCTTCGGCTCTCCCTCGTACATGGGCTGTTGGCAGATATCCTTCTTCCATTCGTCCTTCCAGTATTCCTGTTGTGAAGGAAGACTGTCGCTGCCATGATTTGGACATTGTTGCTCCTGACCTAAACAGAATGAGTGACCCTTCTCAAAGAGGGTTTTACATATTTTTATAAGTATCCCTTTACTTTGGGTGCATTTTCTTTGAGCGGAGAACTTGACTCCGTTATTGTAGAGTTCTGCCTCCGCTACCAGGTGTGTTTGGCACAAGTAAGTCCTTCTGTGTGGAGGATGATTGCTTGTCTTCGGCGCTTGTGCCAAGAGATGGGAGAGGAGCTATCTTTAGCTCATGTGATGAATCTTTNGGGGGGGGGGGGGATGATAAATTTCAGCAAACATGGCCACCACGCCCTGTTATCTAGCATGGATGATGACAACAACCTTGGGTGGATGGAACGATTTGTTGCAGTTTCCACCAACAACATCATTTTGACAATGGCTTCATCCTTTCTAGAAATGTAGAACCGCACTCGTAAGCTTCTTGTTTAATAATTCATATTCCTTTTATTAGGGATTCTTCCATATCCATATTGATCCTTCATCCTTCGCTCGTTTTAGCAACTCGATAGGTTCCACCTATAGTTGAAGGCTTGGACTAGTGGGTCCAAAAAATCTTGGACATCACTATGCCCGAATCCCATACGTGGAAAGAACTATCCCTCAAATACGGGTGGAGGGCCAAAAATCATGGTAATTCAGACTTACCTTGTTTCAACTTTTTATGTGAGGAAATTGATTGATCTTTTCTATCTTTTCTTTGAAATTAGGTCTACCCACGGGCTCAGTTGATGTCCCCGATGAGGATGTTTTGGCTGACTGCTGCTGATGCGGCGAGGCTGCTTTAGGAGAAGCTCACTTGAACAGGTGTCTCCAGGCATGCTTCGAGTACAAGTGTTTCACTACGGAGTCACCTGCTGGAGAACAAGCAACCAAAAAGAAGGCGTTCCTCCACGACTGGTGGAAAGAATAAGAGGGCAAAGACTATTGCCCCGAGTCATCTCCAGAAGTTGTGGTGACTAGCCCTCCTCCCGGGCCGGTCATAGACACCGTGATAATCGATGATGATGGAGAAGCTAGTAATGAGGGAGCTTCTCTTAATAGAAGACGACGATCCTTATCTAGGAATTATTACTACAGTAGCTAGCCAGTCGGGATATTTTACCTCTCGGATTGACCAGATATTAAATAAACGAGTTACCTCTTCTTTCACGAATTTATTCCTAGCTTCCGCAATAGGGCGTTTCTTTTGTCTTACCGGAGGTATGTTGGGGTCCATACATAACTTGTGTACAGCTACCTCTATCGGGATACCTATCATATCCGCATGCCACCATGCAAAAAATCGACACTAGATTTAAGAAATTCAATAAAGCCAGACCTGAGCTCGGGGTGCAGTCCTCTCTCCAAGTGGAATTTCCTCTCTAAGAACTCTTCAAACAATGCAAATTGCTCGAGTTCTTCCGCTGTGGATTTTGTTGCGTCCGTCTCTTCTGGAACCTAGAAATATCTTAGCACCTGATAAGATTCTGACGCTTTTATCCCTGAGCTAACTTCATCCGATTCAGGAGCGGGCACCAGTTCTTGTAACTGCTATGCCGTGTGTTCCTTACCTTTGCTACTGGAGACCGAATTGTGTTCATTTGCCTTGCCGCTGCTTGGTCACCCCTTATCTATTTAACTCATTTGAGTGTTGGACACTTTAGTAATTGATGATATGTTGATAGTACCGCTTTCATGTCGTGAAACCATGGTCTTCCTAGGATAATGTTATATCCCATATCACCATCTACCACTTCAAAAAGAGTTGTTTTCATCACTCATTCGTCGTTCATGGGTAACAAAATTTCTCCTCGGGTCATCAAGCTCGCGAGGTTGAATCCGGCGAGGAGTTTTGTGGCCGGAATAATGCTTTCAGTGAGTTTAGCTTGTTCTAATACTCTCCATTGTACGATACACTAGAAGACATTTAATTGTAAAATTAAGCACATTTAACCAGTGCGTCATTATACGGTAGAAAAAATCCATCTGTGTCCTTCTCCGTGAAAATAATATCGTCTTCGGCGGCTTCTCAGAGCCTTTTGCTATGGGTTATTGACACTTTCATCTTTTCACTGCCGAAAAAATGACCCCGTTGATCTCGTTCCCCCCAAAGATCATATTGATCGTGTGGCATATGAGATTTGCCCCTGCTTTTGAGGGTTCATCGTTGTCCCGGTTATGACCGTAATTGTTCTTAGCCCGGTCACTCAAGAATTCTATGAAATGACCATTCTTTAACAACGTCACCACTTCTTCTCGGAGATGCCAATAGTCCCTAGTTCGGCGTCCGTTTGTGATGATCCAAAAGGTCATCTCTTGTTTTAGAAGTCGAATCCATGTTTTGAGGCCTTAAAACCTCCTTCTATTTCTCCTTGATTTGCGTGCGCAGTCCGGGCGTGTATCCAAAAAGCCCTTATGTGAAAAATTTAAGAAATGATAATTTTTGGCTTAAAAAGATAATTTTTATTGACTTCGGTCAACATTTTCGGTAAACGGACCCGGACCTGTGTTTCGATGGTTCCGAAGGGTCCGTAGAAAAATATGGGACCTAGGCGTATGCCCAGAATCGAATTCTGAGGTCCCTAGCTCGAGAAATGAATTTTTGAAAGAAATTGATAAGATTGAAAATGTAATAATTTAAAATTTTGATCTTTTGTGTATCAGGCCGTATTTTAGTTCCAGAGCCCCGTATAGGTTTGTTATGATGTTTAGACCTTATCTGTGAAATTTGGTGAAAAACGGAAGTGATTTGATGCAATTTGGACCTTTGCTTGACAAAATAGAA